TAATTAAATTTCAACAGGAGTTTTGGAGGGAACATTTAAACCATAGCAAATGGTTCTTGGAAGGCACCAATAAAATAAATTATAAACACCCATACAATAATATCAAAGTACTAACAACTTAACAATATGGAAAGTCCTATCAGTATCAAATACATCTGTTAAATGTCCTAAAAGACAATACTGCAGGCGGGCATGGGGGCTCACGCCTGTAATCCCAGAACTTTTGGGAAGCTAAGGCGGGTGGATCACCTGATGTCAGGAGTTCGAGACCAGCCTGGCCAACATGGTAAAACCCTGCTTCTATTAAAAATACAAAAATTAGCAGGGCATGGTTATGGGCGCCTGTAATCCCAGCTATCATATCATCCTTGATGAACAAAGATGCAAAAATCACCAATAAAATACTAGCAAATTGAATTCAATAGCACATTAAAAGGACCATTTACCAAGATCAAGTGGGATTTATCCTTGGGATGCAAGGATAGTTCAACATATGCAAATAAATAAATGTGATACACCACGTTAATAGAATGAAAGGCAAAATCCATATGATCATCTCAATAGATATGGAAAAAGCATGTGATAAAATTCAAAACTATTTCATGATAAAAATTGTCAACGCACTAGGTACAGAAAGAATATACATCAATACAACAAAGACCATTAAGTAACAAGCCCACAGCTGCCATGCTCTGTAGTAAAGAGGTAAAAGCTTTTCCTCTATAATCAGAAACAAGATAAGAACGCCCACTCTTGCCACTACTATTCAACATAGGTAGAAGTCTTGGCCAGGGTGATCAGACAAGAGGAAGAAATAAAGGCATCCATATCAGAAGGAAGAAGAGAAATCATCTGTTTGCTGATGTCATGGTCTCACATATAGAAAATGCTGAAAACTCCACCAAAAAACCATTTGGACTGATAAACAAATTCAGCAAAGTTGCAGGATACAAAATCAACAGCACTTTTTTATGCTAACAATGAAGTACCTGAAAAAAAAATTAAGAACTCAAATCCATTTACAGTAGCAAGGGAAAAAAAAATTCCTCAGAAGTAAATTTAAGGAGGCAATAGATCTATATACTAGAAAATAGAAACACTGATGAAAGAAATAGTAGATGATACAAACAAATGGAAAGATATTCATATTCATGGAATGGAAGAACATTGTTAAACTATTCATACTACCCAAAGTGATATACAGATTCAATGCAATGCCTATCAAAATTCCAATGTCATTCTTCAAAAAACAAAACAATCCTAAAACTCATATGGAACCACAGAAAAAAACAAAAAGTCAAAGCAAAAAGAACAAACCTAGAGGCATCACACTACCTGATTTTAAAATCTACTACAAAACTATTGTAACCAAAACAGCATAGCATGAAAACTCACCAACTAACCAATCACACAGGATAGAGAGCCCAGAAGCAAACCCACCCATTTATGGTCAAATGATTTACAGCAAAGGTGCCAAGAACTTAAAATGGAAAGAGGACAATCTTCAACAAACGGTGTTGGCAAACAGGTTAACCATATGTAAAAGAATGAAATTAGACCCTTATCTCACATCATACACAAAAATCAACTAAAAATGGATTAAAGACTTAAACATAAAACCTGAAACTGTAAAGCTACTGAACTAAAACACAGAGAAAAGGCTCCACAACATTAGTCTGGGCAAAGATTTCTTAAAATACTACCCCAAAAGCACTGACAACAAAAGCAAAAAACAAATGAGATTGTATCTAACTAAAAAGATTATACAAAGCAAAGGAAACAATAGATTGAGAGATGACCCACAGGTTGAGAGAAAATATTTGCAAACGATACATCTGATAACAGGCTAATATCTAAAATATATAAAGAACTCAAACAACTCAATAGCAAGAAAACAAAGAACTCAATTTAAAAATGGGCAGAGGACCTAAATAGACATTGCTCAAAAGAAGACGTATACATGGCCAACAGATACATATTAAAATGCTCATCATGACTACTCATCAGGGAAATGCAGATTAAAGTCACAATGAGATATCATCTTACACCTGTTAGAAAGGCTATTATCAAAAAGATGAAAGATAACAAGTGTTGGTGAGAGTGTAGCAAAAAGGGAAACCTTGTACACTGTTGGTGGGAATGTAAATGAACACAGCTATTATGGAGAACAGTATGAATGTCTCTCAAAAAACTAAAAATAGAACTACCATATAATCTAGCAATCCCACTTCTGGGCCAAAGGATTGAAATCAGTATGCTAAAAAAATATCTGGACTCCCATGTTCACTGCAGTGCTATTCACAATAGCTAAGACTTGAAAGCAATCTAGGTGTCTAGATGAATGGATAAAGAAAATGTAGTACATATACACAATGGAATACTATCCAGTCTTAATAAAGAAGAAAATTCTATCATTTATGACATGAATGAAACTGGAGGACATTATGTTAACTCAGATAAGCCAGGCACACAAATACAAATACAGCATGATCTAACTTCCATGTGGAATCTAAAACGGCAGAACTCATAGAATTGGAGTAGAATGTTAGTTAACAGAGGCTGGAAGAGAAAGGTGGATGGGGAAAGGGAAGATGCTGATTAAAGGATACAAAATTTCATTTAGAAGGAATATGCTTTAGTAATCTAATACACAGAATGATGGCTAAAATAATAGTGCATTGTATTTTATAATGTTTAAAATTTATAGGCATGCAAAAAAGCAGAAAAATACAACCCATAAGGAGGAGAAACATGACACAGATAGATTTACCAAAACAGCCGTTAAAAACAGCTATTATAAATATACTCTATACGTTCAAAATATAGACAAAAGTATGACAAGTTAAGGAAAGACATGGACAATATAAAAAGACTGATATCAAACTTCTAAAAATGAAAAATACAACATCAGAGATGGCTAACACACTCGACAGTATTAGCTGCAGAATATACTGAATTTTTTTTTTAAAGTTATTAAAGTTGAAGATGTAGCAACAGAAACCACCCAAAATGAAATGAAGGGAAAAAAATAAATGACTGAAAAAATGAGACAGGACACATCATCAAGCAGCTTAATTAATATACATGTAATTGGAGTCACAGGAGGAAAAGAAAAGGGGAGTCAGAAAAAAAATTTCTTAAGAAATAAAAGCCAAACATTTACCAAATGTGATGAAACCTACAAACTCACATATATGCAAAAAAGAGTTAACATAGATGGCCTGAAGTGGCCTTCCTTAGAAAACCCTGCTTGCAAAGCTAGTCCTTGCCTAGCTTCTGAAAACAGATTTCAGGAGAATCTTCATCATTCCATAAATGATAAGGGTGGCTCAATGTGCCTAAACTGTATAAACGATATGGTTTATACTGAATACCCATTTTCTTTCTGAAGTCTGGAATTTGTGTAGATTCTAGGGAGAGAGTGCCTATGTTACCAGTCCCCAGTAAAAACCCGGGGCACTGAGTCTCTTAACGACCTCCCTGGTATATAACACTTTATATTGTCAAAACATTTTGCTGGGAAGAGTTAAGCACACCTGTGTGACTCCACTGGGAAAGGACTCATGGAAGACTGCTGATTTAAATTTGTATCCTTTTGGCCAGGCATGGTGGCTGACACATGCAATTCCAGCACTTTGGGAGACCAAGGTGGATGGATCCCTTGAACACATGGGTTCGAGGCCAGCCTGGGCAAAATGGCAAAACCCCATTTCTACAAAAAATTAGCCGAGCATGGTGGCACATGCTTGTAGTACCAGCTACTCTGGAGGCTGAGGTGAGAGGATCACTTGAGCTCAGGAGATCAAGGCTACAGTGAGCTATGATTACACCACTGCGCTTGAGCCTGGGGGACACAGCAAGACCCTGTCTCTAAATAAATAAATTAAAATAGATTTGTATCCTTTCAGTGTAATTAACGATAGCCATAAGTATGACTATATGCCAAGTCCTGTGTATCATCCTAGTCAACTGCTGAACCTGAAGGTGGTCTTGGGGGAACCCCCAAAACATCACAGATTCAAAAAGCTTGACAAACACCAACGGAAAAATCACACCAAGGCATATCACAATCGAACTGCTTAAAAACAGTAGTAAAGAGAAAATCTTAAAAGATCAAGAATGAGAATAGCTTCAAGCTTACTGACAGTAACTCAAGCTATGATAAAGAAGCAATGCCTTTAAAACTTTGAAGGAAAATTATTTCCAACCTAAAAGTTCAATACAAAATTTCAATCACACATCAAAATATGACAAAAGCATCTTCAGACATGCCAAATCATTCCTCAGGAAGTTACTGGAAGATGTGTTCAACCAAAATAGGGTGAAAACCAAGAAAGAAGAAAGTATGAAGTCCCGGATAACAGAGCTCCATCCAGGAGAGAAGTTAATAAATTCCCAGAATGACAGCAAAGTGTGAGTGACAATGTACACAAAAGCACAGAGGATGCTGAGTTCAAACTGGAGCAGCAAGGAGGCTGTAGGAAAGAGTTCTCCAAAAAAATGAAACTCACAGAATGCCTGCTGTCTGAAAATCTTAACAAAGAGAGCTGGGCAATGGTGAAAAAGTATTTTTTCCATCAATAAATAAAACCAGATGAACAAAAACCAAAATAATTATTAAGTCTAGGGAAAGCAAATGGCTGCAAAGGATAATAACATAATTAGTATTTCCCTTGGTTATCAATATTATTTATTCATAATTGTATAAATGCTGAATATAATCTAATGAAGCTATATATCTGTACTGGGAGAATGGTGGGATAAAAAAAGTTCAGTGTGCAGTGAGGGAGGGAAGTGAATGAGAAGAAAGCTCAATATTTATCCATGTTGGGAAGTACAGCACAAGCATGTTATTTAGAGATAAGAAGGTAAAGAACAAAAGAATCCCGAGTCAAAAGTAGTTGTTCTTGAGGAAGGATGGAAAAAAGAAAAAACACAAGACGACTATGATTAGCAAATGTTATAAAGAGAATAAAAGTTTTGAAATAATTCATTCTTACCTTGGGAAGCTCAGATAGCTTCTCATCACTTGTCAAAGACCGACTACTTGCACAAGAAGCACAGTCTGAGATTTCCACAGCACCCTCGCCATTTTCAAATTCATTACAGTCACTAGCATCTGCCCTGTCACTGTCGATCTCCCAGTCGATAAACTGTAATTCATCTAAAAAATACAATTTTTTAACTTGCTTAATTATATATCTCCACAGTCTTTTACTTTTAAATCTTTTATTCTTAGTAGTTAATATATCCATGTCACTCAATAATTTTAAAAAACGTATTTAGGACTGGGCACAGTGGCTCATGCCTGTAATCCTAGTGCTTTGGGAGGCTGAGGTGGGTGGAATGCCAAAGCTCAGGAGTTCAAGACCAGCTTGGCCAATAAGGTAAAATGCTGTCTCTATTAAAAATACAAAATAAAAAAAATTAGCTGGGCATGATGGCACACACCTGTAGTCCTAGCCACTCAGGTGGCTAAGGCACCAGAATCACTTAAACATGGGAGGTGGAGGTTGCAGTGACCCGAGATCATGCCACTGAACTCCAGCCTGGGCAACAGAGTGAGACTCTGTCTCAAGAAAAACAAACAAATAAATTTGGACAGTGAAAAGTACATTTCTACTCTTATCTCAAATCACCGATTCTTCCAAATCTTACTCGAACCCCAATTTTAAGAACTTTTAAGTAGGTGTTTCCGTATCCTTGTATAGTTTCCCCAGCATGTTTAGGCAAATAAACTATGTATTATTATTTTTTCCTCCTTTCTTACATAGCTAAACTCTTTCACTAAACATAATTAAGAAGACTTAACCATATGAATAAGCAGGATGTACCCTCATTCTTTTCTACAAATAGTATTCCATATTACATAGTTGAACCATAGTTTATTTAACCAGTCTTCTATTAGAAACTGTGTTTTCAAACATTTTCACCTAATGATTTTTTTCGATAGATTTCTTCTATCAGTAAGGAAACAACGAAAGTAAAATGCAAATTTAAGTGTAATAGTAGTAGTCTTTCCACCTTACTTTACTTCATAAACTATCTAAATGCTGCTTTTACAAAATTTTAAGTCAAACTCAAATTACTTTTATAAACTAAGTAACCAAATGTACTGATTCTAATCTGCTATGCTTAAACAAATAAAAGTAGTAATTAAAGATAAATTAGTCTCTGAGGTAGGATAACATAAACCGTGCCCATAATACAAAGCACATGTATTCCCTAGGAATTACTTCAGCAACTCAGAAAACTAATTAGATATCTTGGTCCTATTTGAAAGTGTGACAGCAACAATCTCACTTCTAATGAACTGAGCTTACATATATTTTTTGAGACAGTGTCTCGCTTTGTCACCCAGGCTGGAGTGCAATGGCACAACCTTGGCTCACTGCAACCTCACCTCCCAGGTTCGACCTTTTTTCCTGCCTCAGCCTCCTGAGTAGCCAGCTGGGATTACAGGCATGCACCAACATGCCTGGCTAATTTTTGTATTTTTAGTAGAGACAGAGTTTCACCGTGCTGGTCAGCCTGGTCTCGAACTCCTGACCTTGTGATCCACCTGCCTCAGCCTCTCAAAGTGCTGGTATTATAGGCTCCCAGCTGGTAACATGTTTTTTCAAATGCTACCTTTAATACCTGAAGGAAATTTATAATTTAAAAAGAAAAAAATAAGCTAAAGTTAAAAGTATGGAATGAAATAAACAAAAATAAGTATTAATACTTTTCAGTGGCTCACATCTGTAATCCCAGTGCTTTGGGAGGCCGAGGCAGGCAGATCACGAGGTCAAGAGATCAAGACCATCCTGGCCAACATGGTGATACCCTGTCTCTACTAAAAATACAAAAATTAGCTGGGCGTGGTGGTGCACGCCTGTAGTCCCAGCTATGTGGGAGGCTGAGGCAGGAGAACCCGGGAGGAGGAGTTTGCAGTGAGCCATGATCATGCCACTGCACTCTAGCCTGGAGACAGAGCAAGACTCTGTCTCAAAAAAAAAAAAAAAAAAAAGTTACTGTTGTTCCAGAAGATGCAGTAAAAGTCCACTCTAAGTTGGGAATGGTGGCATGTGCCTGTAGTCTCAGTTACTCAGGAGGCTGAGGCAGGAGGATCGCTTGAGCCCAGGAGTTTGAGGCTGCAGTGGGCTACGATCCACTGCACTCCAGCCTGCATTACAGAGCAAGACCTCATCTCTTAAAAAAACAGCCACTATAATGATCATAACAGACTGAAGGTCAGACCACTATTGAGAGAAGCAGATGCATAATGGCAACTACTTCCCACACTAACATCATATTTAGTCATGGAAGCCAGGCAGGAGAACATATTAGAGATTCTCCAGGTTGCTGAACCTTCCCAAGAGGAAGCCAGGGAGAGACAAGGGAAAAACACAAGTGCCCTCAGAGCTGCTGCCTGCATCACAAATCTGTGAAGCACTCATTCATTCATTAGACAAAGCAAGTGCCTAAAAGAGACCATTCACACCATTCAAGATACTCACAAAACAAAATAAACAAATAAAAGAGAGAAAACAGCACTATTCCTAGCCTGGTGTAGTCCACAAATTAATACACATTGCAATGCGATACATGCTATGAAATAACTGGGACTTTCATCACAAAATTTTTGTAGTCACAAAACTTATAAAAAGCAGGAATACTGCTATTACATTTAAATTTGCATTTTACAGATAAGGAAATTGGGTCTCCCTCCAATAAGTTAAGAGATTTTCCCAAAGTTATATAAACTTTTAGATAATTGGTAAAAACCATATGGAAGGGAGGCCAGGCGCAGCAGCTTTCATCTGTAATTCCAGCACTTTGGGAGGCCGAAGCAGGCAGGTTACTGGAGGTCAGGAGTTTGAGACCAGCCTGGCCAACATGGTGAAACCCTGTCTCTACTAAAAATACAAAAATTAGCCGAGTGTGGTGGTGCACGCCTGTAACACCAGCTACTCAGGAGGCTGAGGCAGGAGAATCACTTGAATCCAAGCGGCAGAAGCTGCAGTGAGCAGAGAATGCGCCATTGCACTTCAGCCTGAGTGACCAGCAACACAGTGAGACTCTGTCTCCAAAAAAAAAAAAAAAAGAAAGGGAAAGTATTTTTAAGAGAAAAATATTCTGAAATTTTAAGTCAGGACTCTTCCTTCTCAAGCCCAATTCCAGGCCTTAAGGCCCAGAAACTAATCCAGCAGGACTGCAAAAAGGTCTAGGAATGTTGTTTTACTTTTTTTAAATTTCCATTTTAATTTCTGTTAATCTTTTATATAATTCTAAATATCTTACACATTTTGTATTTTAGATCTAACATTGTATTTTTGTTATGTTAATATAACATTTTTTAAAACTGTCCTATAATTTGTTACTCATGTAAAATTAAAATGGATTTTTCTATATTGAGCTTGTATTCAGCATTAGGAATATTGTTTTTAAAGCTCACAAGGTAATTCTGACATGACGCCAGCTTTGGTGACCACCACAACAGTGCTGAGGCACACGGCATCGAAGTTAGGCAAACCTGGCTCTGGTTACCAGCTGGCACACTTACTAATTATGTGACTCTGGGCAAGTGACTTGACTTCTCTAAGTCCCATATTTCTTCTATAAAATGAGGATACTACTTAGCTCACAAGATATAGTAGACATCAAAGGAAATAAGCATATCTGAGACCCAGCCAAATGTCTGAGTCAAACAAAAACTTGATAAATGTTAACAGTTGTTATCCAGTAAATGTAAAAAGGAAGGAAGAAGTGGGGACAGGAAGGAGACGAGCAGAGGATGGGGAGTTGGGGGAGAGAAAGATAAACCAGAAGCTTTATACAGGATTACACAAACCCCAAGGGATCACCTACTTGTCACTTAGTGCTCAACTTTTTAAGATAAGTCAACAATTTTAAAGTACTATAAACACATTCTTAAGTAATTAGCCCAAAGCATCTTTCCACTGTTAAGAGTTTTAGAAAGTACTCAATGTCCCTATTCACAGAAGATAAACTTTTAAAAAAAAATACCAGCTTTATTGAGATATAATTTGCAAACCTTACTATTTACCCACAAAAGCACAAAGTTGTACTACTGAAATTGTATTCTGAAACATATGAAGACAAACCAAGGGTTACGTAACAATAAATTTCATTTAATGTGTCTGAATTAATAATACAGGTGCTATCAGCTTATACATAATCTTAAAACACCACTTCACCTGGTAACTACTAAAATGTCAAGGGTATTGAATTACTAAAATGAGATACAAAGTGGTCAAAAGAATTTAACTACCCTCCCGAGAAGCTGTCTGTACAAACCTAACCCTAAGTAACTACCATGAACTGTCAGAGTTAAAAGTCACAAGCTTATTTTGAAAACATTAAGATCTTTAAATACTCTAGATGATTAGTATATTTCAAAATTTCTAAAAGGACATATTTCCATAATTCTACATCTGTGGTTATCAACGAGGGGTGATTTTTGTACTTCAGGAGACCCTTGACAACATCTGGATCTATGTCTTTGTTTATCATCCCTATGGCTGGGATCCTACCGTGACCCAGCAGGTAGGGGCCAGGGACACAGAATCTCCTACAGGGCATAGGAAGGTGCTTCTCCCCATAGCAAAGAATCATCTGACCCAAAATGTCAAGAGTGTCAAGGATGAGAAACTTTGCTTTAAATTATCTAACATGACACAATATAAAACACCATCTGAATAGAAATTTGTCAGTATGTTACACCTCTATCACAGATTGGTTGTCACAGTATTTACTCAACAATAACAGGTTGGCAAGAAGGCAGTATGGGTGTAGCACTGTGTAGAAGTTGAAGGAATTGGCTATGGAGCGAAAGAGACCTAAAATGGAATCCCAATCCATTCTTGTAAGTCCAAGCTTAAGTTGTTAACTGTAAAAATTATACCTATCTCTTACAGTTACTGTGAGAAATATTAAGAAAATGTTTCTGAAGTGTTTAGCTCAGAGGGTGGGACTCAGTAAAATCCTATTAGAAAGGAATTTAATTTTCATTCTCTGGGACAAATGTCTAACGGTGCAGTTGCTAGGTTACATGGTAACTGCATAGTTAGTCTTTAAGAAACCGCCAGACGGTTTTCCAGAGTGGCTGTACCATTTTACTGTGTACCTGGCAATGTATTGGTGATCCTGTCTCTCCACAACTTCATCAGCATTTGGTATTGCCACTATTTTTTATTGTACCCATTCTGATAGGTGGAATGTTAATGATAAATACTAGAAAGGAATGTAAGTTTCTCCCAATATTAGATCCAATATTTAACAAGAAACTGGATTTGTAACAAAATTATCAATTTACCTTCACTGGCCCCATCTTCTGGACACAAAATGTTCCTGTTACAAAATCTGTTTATTCTAGAGCCATGTCCATTATCTCTCTGTAATTTAGAAAGTGTCTTATCTTCATCTGACAAATCACTTCCACTGGAACTCCATGTAATGTCTGTAAGCTCATTGGTGCTCTTAGATGTGGTGGTTTCTGTTGAAGAAAAAGAAAGCACATAAATATGATCCCCTTATATGGCTATTTATCAGAATACAATTTTATGCATGTAATTTTGCCAAAGTCACAAATACACAAAACTCTGTGATAGGAAAAGGAATGTCTACATCGAATCTTACTGCTTAAAGTGCTATATACAATCTCACTAACATTCTCTGAGTTGAAGCTACGTTCCAAGAAGAAAAAGAAGTACAACTGGTTAAGCTATACAAGAAAAGGAAAATGACTGGAGCACAAAAGAAAACTGGAAAAGTAAGACTTGAAATAACATTTATAAAAGTATAACTTCCTGGGATATTTGATGAAACAAAAAAATCTTTTTAAATGCAAAACACAAAGTCAAACTTATGAATAACAGGAATGCTTCTGTGTGCTTCCTTTGCCATGTAAAGAATTCTGGGAGCAGGGTGCATAGAACACTTGACAGCAAACCTTGTATTTAATTAAATTTTTTATTTTAAGATAGTAGTAGATTCACATATAACTATATGTAAGAAATAACAAAGAAAATCCTTTATCCCTTCACCCAGTCTTTCCAATGGTAACATCTTGCAAAACTGTAGTACAACACAACCAGGATACTGACATTGATCCAGTCAAGCTACAGATCAATTCTATCACCACAGGATGCCCTGTATTACCTTTTCATTGTCACATCATCTCCTGGCCCCATATCAATCCCTGAACTGTCAACCACTACTCAGTTTTGCATTTCTGTAATGTTTTCATTTTAAGAATGTTATATGATCGAGACCAGCCTTGCTAACATGGAGAAACCCCATCTCTACTAAAAATACAAAGAATTAGCTGGGCATGGTTGCAGCATCTGTAATCCCAGCTACTCGGGAGCCTGAAGCAGGAGAATCACTTGAACCCAGGAGGCAGAGGTTATAGTGAGCCAAGATCAAGACACTGAACTCCAGCCTGGGCAACAAGAGTGAAACTCAGTCTCAAAGAAAAAAAAAAAATGTTACATAAATCAAATCACTATGTAACCTTTTAGGATTGGCTTTTTTCATTCAGCATAATTTCCTAGATAGTCATCTCAGTTGTGTATATCAACATTTATCTTCTTTTTATTACTGAATAGTACACCATGGTACTATGCACCACAGTTTGTTTCATCATTCACTTACTGAAGGACATCTGTGTTGTTTCTAGTTTGGGGCTATTATTAACAAAGCTGCTTATGAACACCTGTGTACAGGATTTTATGTGAATTTAATTTTCATTCTCTGGGACAAATGCCTAAGGGTACAGTTGTTGAGTTATATGGTAATTGCATGTTTAGTCTTTAAGAAATGGCCAGACTGTTTTCCAGAGTGGCTATACCATTTTACCTGCAATGTACTGGTGATCCAGTTTCTTCATAACCTCACCAGTATTTGGTGTTGTTACTATTTTTTATTGTAGCCATTCTGATAGGTGGAAAACCTAGACAGAATGGGGCTATTTCATCTTGGCAGAATCAAAAATCAACAGCAAATTTTTCTGACACTGATCAGAAAAAGAATATACATGTAATAAAATCAATTATTCTGTTCACATTCATAATTGTAGATATAATGCTAAAATGTATGTACATATATATATATATATTATCCTATGTGGTATAGTATTTGACATATTTCAAAGCACATTTCAAAATACTATGAAATTAAGAGATTAGATATTTATAAAATTCGTGTTTTACAGAAAATAAACTTAGGCTTCATTTGATATATATTTACAGAACCCCTCTGATACAGTAAGCCATGAAGAAACAAAGAAAACTCCAGCCTAGGCAACACAGTGAGACCCCTTATCTATAAGAAATTTAAAAATTAGCTGGGCATGGTGGTGCATCCCTGTAGTCCCAGCTAGCTGGGAGTCTGAAACAAGAGGACAAGTTTACGTGAAAAAGTTTGAGGTTGCAGTGAGCTATGATTGTGCCACTGCATTCCAGCCTGAGTAACAGAGTAAGATCCTGTCTCCAAAAAAGAAAAGAAAACTCCTCACAAGGAATATGTGTGGTCTGGAAGGAAACACTAATCATGGAAAAAACTTAACACTATACTAGATGTATGTCATAGAATAATGGTGGCACAAAAAACTGAATGTTCTACTTTGCACTGATCAGGAAAAGAGGATTCACTGACAAGATGATGTCTGAAAAAACAGTACTTACAAAGGCACAAAAACATGGAATAGTCAACATTTACTGAATACTTACTTTGTGCCACAAACGTCTAGAATTACTGAAGTGGCCTATCGTTCATGTTATAAAAGGAAAAATAAACTATCCAGAATATCCTTAAGAATCTACATCTATCTTAAATAGCTAATAAAACTAAGCTGAGTACTTGCTTGCAAGAGACATTATCAATCTCTATCATTGTTACGCATCTGAAAAATAAGTCAAAAAGAAAATTATCACTATTTGCAAATTATAAAATGAATTCATGGAAAAGTTAAGAAATCAACTGAAAAGCTACTACCATTAATAAGGAAGTCCAATAAAGGTAGCAAGGTACAAACTGCAATACAGAAATCAAATTTAAAGCAGTAGCAAAAAAAAATACCTATAAGAAACTTGGAAGATATGTAAAACCAAAATACATGTTTTTAAAAGACCTCAAAAGAACATAAAAGAACAAACAGACATACGCTAAGATTTTGGATGAACTGATCAGAAAAAAATGATCTCTCAGTGCTCTTGAGGCTGAGCATCTTTTCATATGTTTGAAAATCATTTATGTTTCCTGGAAACAGTCCCTTCATAATCATTATTTTTGCAATAGTTATCTTTATCTTTTTTCCCCTGGATTAACTTCTGATGGTTCTCTATTAAAAAGTTCAGCCTTGGTCTGTGACATGAGCCACAAATGTTTTCCCCGGTTTTGCTGAATTTTAAATTTTGTGTATACACGTGTAATTTTTTCTAAGAGATGTGGTCTTGCTATGTTGCCCAGGATGGGGTGCAGCAGCTATACACAGGCATGATCACAGCACACTGCAGCCTCAAACTCCTGGGCTCAAGTGATCTTCCTGCCTCCCCAAGTAGCTGGGGCTACAGACGTGTGCCACCCTACCAGACCTACGTGTGTCATTTTGGCCATGCTGTTTTTCCCTTTATATTTAGGTGAATTTACCAGCTTTATTCATACAGTTTCTAGGTTATGAGTCATTTATTGGAAATGACTTCCCAAATGTAATGCCTCTTTTCCGCCAGCAGCTGTGGTGCCTGAGAGATTCACCCAGGCAGTTTAGCTTCTGAGTCCATGTTCTTAACCATTATGTGAAGCTCCCAAGTCAGACAGATCTGCAATTGCTTTCACCATTAGTTTGGTGTGAGTATCTAAGGAAATATGTAACTGGTGCTTTTGTACCACCTAATTTAAAAGACAGGATAATCATTAGTTATGTCATTCAAAACCTCAGAGAACAGGACTCTAGATTTATAAACCCATGAATTATAGGCACCTGACTGAACAACTAGATAGTTAAAACCACTACCAGGAATTCATTAGTAACTCATTTTACTTGCTGAAAAGAGAGTATCCTTGAGATCGAGCCTCATTCCAATGGAACCATAGGATGAATATTAGCCAGACTGAACATTTTGGGGTGCCCACTGTGTGCGAGGCACTGTCCTAGCACCTGGTGTTATGAGCTGAACGGTGTCCCCCCCAAAATCCATATGTTGAAGTCCTAACCTTCGGTACCTCAGGATGTGACTTTATTTGGAAATGAGGTCTTCACAGAGGTAATCAAATTCAAGTGAGATCATTAGGGTGGGCCCTAATCCAAGATGACTGGTATCCTTATAAGGGGAAATCTGGACACAAAGACAGACATGCACTGAGAAGACAATATGAAGAGACCTGGCAAAGAGACAGAAGGAGAAGGCAGTCATCTACAAGCCAAGGAGAGAGGTCTACAACAGATTCTTCCCCTACAGCCCTCAGAAGGAACCAACCCTGCCAACAGCTTCATTTTGGAGTTTGGGCCTACAGAACTGTGAGACAGTTTCTGCTGATTAAGCCACCCAGTTTGTGGTACTTCCAAAGGCTGTGAACCAACCTTTGGGAACTAGTTCAGCTGGGATATAAAGATGAGCAACAGATGGGGTCTGCCCTTAAGAAGCCAGTGGTCCAGTGGGGAAAAAGGCAGGTCCAGAAATAATAACAAAGTTAGTAATTTTTTATTAGCCAGCTAATATTAATTTTTTCCTTTTCTCATAGTGCCAAATGCTGTAATATTCAAAGATCAAGTTAATTTGGTTTCTAAATCTTTATAGTATATGGGGCGGGGAACATTTTTCTTTAAACAGATATAGTTTGAATCTCTTCTGGAGATTTAAAATATGTATAGTAAATTCAACTTTGAGAAAGAAATATTAAATAAATTGTTACCTTGTCTTTAATAACAAAATGATATTTTGGATGATTTTCCCATGCGTACTTATTTGACCAATACTTTGATGTACTTTCTACTGTACAGAATGATCAATATATTCTAAAAGGTTAAAAGAGCTTGTATGAATGTATAGTTACTTTATTTATAATATATGCAGCTTGTTAAGCAAAAACATTGTCGATAACTTAATAAAGGCTTGCTATTTGTAGTACAGATTGATAGAAAAAGGGACTTGAGGAATTTCCTAGAACTGGTTCATTTTTAACAGTAGCTTCTAAAGTATTAGTTTAAGAAATTCTATTAACAAATATTCCAAGATAAAAATTCTATACTATATTTTGGGTGAGGCGGTAGTATTTTTAAGACAGCTGGGAAACAGAGTGGGGGAACATGCTTTTGTAATGTGTGCATAAGGTCAGAGGCTTGTCTCTGCCAATAGCTTCTGCAGTTCCATCAAAAGATTATAGTATTTAAAAGTAGTATTTAAAAGATGTGTACAAGTTTATTCCATAATAAACTATTTTATGAATTTTAAAGAAACATTTTGGTAAATTTTGTTTTTTATTTGCATTGAAAAGAACCCCCTTCTATGTCACTGAAATAATAATATGATTTAGAATGTTGCAGAAAGTTAGTTCATTCTGCAGAGCTCTGAAGAGTCTTTCACACAGCTCTTTCTGCCATCAGACATATAAGCAACTGTTGTCCTCAATCAAGCACCTTTTAACTAAGCATTTTATCTACTTTTCTTAGCTCACTTAATATTCATAATAACCCAATGATTATGTCCATTCTCCAGATACAAAACTGAGACTGAGAATGTTTAGCTTAGTTTTCAAAGATTATAGAGCCAGGACAGAGCAAGATCCAGTAAGTCACAAGTCGTCACTCTTCCTATACACTCACAGCAGGGCTTACTGACTGTGGCAGCAGAAACCAGCGGCCTACCTGATATCCACCCCTTCTTCATTACTAACAACCCCAATTTTCTTTAGCAGCAACATACCAATCTACAAATCCTTAATTTCACTCAAGTATCTTTAGTGGAGGTGACCCTGTGTAATAGCTTCTAGCCAAAGGTAGAGATACTGGGAAAAACATTCCTTCCCAAAGGAAAGGCAGAGCGGATTTGGCGAAAGTCCTCAGCACCTACACTCTTCCAAGAATTCAGTTTAAAGAATTCAGCCACTACCTACTGACCATGAGAACCAATTCCACACTCAGGCTACAGAATTCAGAAAGAGTCTAGCCCTCTGGATGTCCTGCTGCAGGACACAAATGCAACCTAATTTGTCCAAACACTCTAGTGTTTGAACAGAATTTTCTACTTCTTATAGCTTGAAATTTTCCTAATTCATCAAGAAAGAATTTCATAGCCTGAAGCAGTCTAGTTCTTATGCTATAGGTAACATTTCTTTCCCAAATCAGATTAAAAAAATAAAAAAAAGAAACCCTGGAGCTATGAGCATGAGCTAACCTATGGGGCTCTGTGATAAAAATGAACTCAGGAAGGACACACAAAAAATGTTAATTATCTGTAGGTGGGCAGGAGAAATGCAGTAGATGGTGACAGCAATGAAAGAGTTTTCAAAAATACTTTTTTACATTGTCTTGATGTTTTTTAACTATGAATATAGTCTACCCAAACCACATAACTTTTTTAGAAAGCAAATTTTTAAAATAATCACAGAAGAATGTAATCTCATATCTTCTCTGCCAAGAAATCAACAAAATAGTATTACCTTGCTTGGGTCTAGGTGATAATTCAAGGTGCTTTTCTGTAGTCGTCTTCTCTTCAGCTGCTAATGACTATAGGCAAAATAATAATGATGAAATTTATGTGACAAATGCTAAAAAGAACCAATATTTTATAAAATATCAAAATCTTAAACTACACTCTCCTTAACATTTTCTTCTCTGATTTCCTTTACCAATTCACTAATTTCAGTATTCCCAGAGCATATACTCCTCATATATTTATAAATTTATATTTTTCCAGAATCTAAAGAGATCTGCCTGACCAAAACGTTTCACATTAACATTCAGTGTTACTATCTGCTCATACATATATGACTCTGACCACCTATGAGGTACTCATTACTACTCAAACCCAAATTATCTTGAGTTTATGACATCATTCCTCTATAAGTTACCATATACACAAAAATTATCCATAATATCTCATTGCCAAAAAATTCTGAATATACAGGCATATGTCATTTTAGTGTGCTTCACTTTACTGTGCTTTGCAGATACAGCATTTTTTTTTACAAACTGAAAATTTCTGGCAATCCTGTGCCCAATTCTATGGGCGCCATTTTTCTGACCGCATGTGCTCACCTATAAACTTGTGCTTCTGTGTCATATTTGGATAATTCTTCCCAAGATTTCAAACTTCATCATTATTAAATCTGTTATGATAGTCTGAGATCAGTGATCTCTGGTATTACTACTGTAACTGATTTGAGGTGCCACAGTCAAAACCAATATAAGACAGCAAAATTAATAAATGTTGTGTGTGTTCTGACTGCTCCACCAACCAGCTGCTCCTCCATCTCTCACCTTCTCCTTAGGCCTCCTATTCCCTGCAACACAACAATATTAAAATTAAGCCAATTAATAACCTTATAATGGCATCTAAGTGCTCAAGTGAAGAACAGCTGAATGTCTCACACCTTAAATCAAAAGTTTGAAATGGCTGTACACAGTGGCTCACACCTATGATCCCAGCACTTTGGGAGGCCGAGGTCTGACCAGCATGGTGAAACCTGGTCTCTACTAAAAATACAAAAATGAACTGGGCCTAGTGGCAAGTGCCTGTAATCCCAGCTACTAGGGAGGCTGAGACAGGAGAATCGTTTGAACCCAGGAGGCAGAGTTTGCAATGAGCCAAGAGTGCACCACTGCACTCCAGCCTGGGCAACAGAGCAAGACTCCATCTCAAAAACAAAAAGAAAACAAAACAACAACAACAAAAAAAACTGGAAATAACTAAGCTATAGAAAGGCATGACAAAAACCAAGACAGGCTAAAAGCTAGACCTCTTGAACCAAACCATTAAGCCAGTTGAGAATGCAAAGGAAAGTTCTTGAAGGAAATTAAAAGTACTACTCCAGTGAACATACAAATGATAAGTAAGTAAAACAGCATTATTGCTAATACAGAGTTTTAGCGATGTAGATAGATCTATCTAGATGAAGAGTTAATTCTTATGGATGAACAAGCAAAGTGGTTCCTGGAAATAACATCTGCTCCTGGTGAAAATGCTGTGAACACTGTTGAAGTGATAACAAAGAATTCAGAATATCCTATAAACTCAGCTGATAAAGCAGTGGCAGGCTTTGGGAGGACTGAGTCTAATTTTGAAAGAAGTGCTATTACAGGTCAAATGTTATGAGCATCACATGCTACTCAGAAATCTTTCATAAAAGGAATAGTAAATAGATGTGACAAACTTCACTTTTGCCTTATTTTCAGAAACTGCCACAGCCACCCCAACCTTCAACCACCAACAACCTGATCAGTCAGCAGCTATCAGCATCAAGGCAAGACTCTCCCCTAGCAAAAAGATTACACTTTGGTGAAGACTCCTATCTATGATTGTTAGCATTTTTTTTTTTTTAGCAATAAAGTATTTTTAAATTAAGGTAAGCACATTGCTTTTTTAGACATAATGCTATTGCATACTTAATAGACTACAGGATAATATAAACGTAGCTTTTATATGCACTAGGAAACCAAAGAATTCATGTGATCACTTTATTGCCTTGGTCCTGAAGCAAACCTACAATATCTCCAGAATATGCCACTATAAACACTTCATGAATACGTTTCTTGTGAAGAGTGGTATACTCAATGGTTTCATCTTCTGAGAACATTCTTAGTAAATATCCTTCATTTACAAACAAAGAAGCAGAAAGGCTCTGCATGTGAATTTAAAAAGTGAGTATACCCAGGTACTGTGGCTCATGCCAGTAATCCCAGCACTCTGGGAGGTGGAGGTGGGAGGATCTCTTGCAGCCAGGAGTTAGAGACCAGCCTAGGCAACACAACAAGACCCTGTCTCTATAGAAAGTTTTTGAAAAATTAGCCAGGCAGACGGGCACAGTGGCTCACGTCTGTAATCCCAACACTCTGGGAGGCTGAGGTGGGTGGATTACCTGAGGTCAGGAGTTCCAAACCAGCCTGGCCAACATGGTGAAACCTGGTCTCTACTGAAAATACAAAAATCAGCTGGGTGTGGTGGCATGTACCTGTAATCCCAGCTACTCAAGAGGCTGAGGCAGGAGAATTGCTTGAACTCTGGAGGCGGAGGTTGCAGCGAACCAAGATAGTGCCACTGCACTGTAGCCTGGGTGACAAAGTGAGACTCCATCTCAAAAAAAAAAAAAAAAAAATTAGCTAGGCATGCTGGTATATAACTGTAGTCTCAGCTATTCAAGAGGCTGAGGCAAGATAACCTAAGACCGGGAGATCGAGGTTGCAGTGAGCTATGATTATGCCATCGTACTCCAGTCTGGGCAACAAAGTGAGACTGTGTTCCAAAAAAAAAAAAAAAGTGAATATTAACTTGCTACGATTATTCAAGGAATGAAAGGGAAGTAAAAGGAGTGCACCAATTACAGTGACCTGAAAGAATAAGAGAGGGATTTCAATGAAATGTAATTACAATGTTTTGAACACTCAGATAGGATTTCCTCTTGGCATTCAGGGAAAACAATTCTACAGATACTTTACCAGAGTCCCAGAAGTGTCCTGAAATCCTTCTCCACACCTAAGCCATGCTTCAGAGAGGGAGGCAGCTGCCCCAGGTGTCCTGAGTCCTGCTCTTCTGAACTGCAGTGGTCTTTCTCCTGGAAAGGATGGGCATTCTATATCCCAACTCCTTTTTCTCTGTGGAGATGATTATTAAAAGAAAAAACAAAACAAACAAAATCAACTCCATTAAATAGACATTAAGTTTACAATTTACAATTTGAAAACCTAGGAGTGGCATCAGAAAAGGCATAGTTTTTGAATGTCTCTAAATCTTCACATAAAGAGTAACTAGACAGCAAAGTCAAAAACACAGAAACAAAATTAATCAGCAAACTCCAAGACGCAAGTGGGTAAAGACAAACCACCAACTCCCAAAGTCTAGCATGGATCAGTATCTGACAGGAAAGACGCCAAGGAAAGTAAAGAGCCAAGGAGGCCCTGAGAATCTAGACATCAGTGCTCCCTAGGAAGCAGAGCAGACGACAGATCTGAGAAGAGTGTATGACAGAACTGAGAACAGCGCCTGAATCTAGGTGAGAGCAGGGGCTCCACCGTAAGAAGATGTGAAGAGATGGGAGCAGCCTGGGCCACCCGAAACTGGTCACCGTGGACTCCCTTCTGGGCCCCTCACTGATAAAATGCTGGGAGTGGAATCTACTCAGCAGCACAAGGGTGGCAGAGACACAGAAAAGGTCCAGATGGAGCAAAGTTGGGAAGAATCTGTAAGACAAACACACAAGTGGCCCTATTTTTATAAGCCATATGAAAATAACACAAGGTACAAAAGCTATGCTTCACTGGGTGCCATGGCTCACACTTGTAATCCCAAACTTTTAGTGGCTAAGGCAAGAGGATTTCATGAGCCCAGGAGTTCAAGACCAGCCCAGGCAACATAGCAAGACCCCATCTCTTAAAAAAACCTTTTTAGTGAGCTGGGCATGGTGGCACACAAATGTGGTTCCAGCTACTCAGGAGGCTGAACCAGGAGGATTGCCTGGGCCCAGGAGTTTGAGGCTGCAGTGAGCTATGATCACACCACTGCACTTCAGCCCAGGCAACAGAGTGAGAGCCCACATTCTTTCAAAAAAAAAAAAAAAAGTATCCTAAATCCTGCCTCCTTCTAACATTTCAGAGGACTGTGACATAAAAATAAGCAACAGAAAGGTATGAAAGCTAAATCCCATAAAATCATTATTAGGGAAAAACTAAGGAGAATAACATCCTAACACACACAAAAAAAGTACATCAAAGACACACAAAACACATAAAATGGTAAACTACAATTTCAAAACAAGATAAAACATTCAGAATAAAAACCCAGAAATGAGGTGACAAAACTTAAGTAGAATAAAATTTAAAATGTACTAAACCAGAAGAAATCCAAGAACAAATAGGTATTACAGATAATATCTTAAGTCTTCACTACAAAAGGAGTAAAAATTTAAACATAACACTATCTTACAAACTAGCCGCTTTCCTCCTAGCAATTTACACAAAGAAATAAAACTATATGTCTACAAATATTTTTACATATTTTATAAGCATTTTATTTGAAACAGCCAAAATCTAAAAACAACCCCAAAGTCCATTGTAGTAGCTTTAAAATATTACAACAAATTCTTTGATACTGCTCCCTTCAAAAGCAGCCCCTAATTCTTTACTCTTTGAGTGTGGGCTGGATATAGTGACTTATTTTTAGCACATAATATGAGGAAAGTGACAATGTGTGACTTCCGAGACCAGGTCATAGTAGGCATTGAGGCTTCCAGCTGGGAGCAGTAGTTCAAGCCTGTAATCCCAATACTTTGAGAGACCAGGGCGGCAGATCACTTGAGGCCAGGAATTAGACAAGCCTCGCCAACATAGTGAAGCCCATCTCCACTAAAAATACAAAAATCAGCTGGGTGTGGTGGCGTACATCTGTAATCCCAGCTACTCGAGAGGCCGAGGCACAAGAATCACTTGAACCCTGGAGACAAGAGGTTGCAGTGAGCTGAGATCACACCACTGCACTCCAGCCTGGGCAACACAGTGAAACTGTCTCAAAAAAAAAAAAAAAAAAAGCATTGTAGCTTCCTCTTTGCCCATGCTGCTCTTAGATCACTTGTTTTAGTAGTAACCAGATTCTATGTAATAAGAACACTTGGCCAAGCATGGTGGCTCACATCTGTAATCCCAGCATTCTGGGACGCGTAGGCAGGCAGATCACTTGAGGTCAGGAATTCGAGACCAGCCTGTCCAACATGATGAAATCCCATCTTTACTAAAAATACAAAAATTAGCTGGGTGTGGTGGCAGGCGCCTGTACTCCCAGCTACTCAGGAGGTTGAGCCAGGAGAATCGCTTAAACCTGGTAGGCGGAGGTTGCAGTGAGCCAAGATTGCACCACTACACTCCAGCCTGGGCAGCATAGTGAGACACTATCTCAAAAAAAAATCAAAACAAAACAAAGAAAGAACACTTAAGCATTCCTGCAAAGAAGATCCTTGGTCAGAAGACCAGAGGTTGAGGCCTCTGGCCAACAGCCATAGAAGTATCTTTGAATTGGATACTGCAGTGAAGCCTTCAAATGGCTTCAAGGCATCCAACATCTTGACAGCAATCTTATGAAAAACCCTGAGCCAGTCACCCAACTAAGCAACTCCCAAATTCCTGGCCCAGAAACTGTCAGGTAATAAATGCATGTTGTTTTATACCACTAAGTTTTTAGATAAACTGTTATATTGCAATAGAGAGCTAATATAGCCATCAACAGGTGGATGGATTTTAAAACTTGTGATATATCCATACAATGCAATCGCACTGAATGATAAAAAAGAACGAAGTACTGAAACAAGCAATAATATAATTGGATTTCAAAGTGACACTGAAGGAAAGAAATTAGACCACAAAAATCCATTTACATACAATTCTAGAAAATGCAAACAAACCAATAATAACAGAAAGCAGGTTCATGATAGACTAGGAATGTGAGGAAAAGGGAAAGAAATAGGAATTACAAAGCAGCAAAGAAAAACCTTGGGGCATGATTGTTACATTCCCTAAATCATTTGCACTGATGGTTTCATGGAGATCATGGATCTCAAAAGTTATCAAACTGTATGCTGTAACTATGCAGTTTATGTCAATTATTCTTTTAATAAAGCTGTTAAAAAATCAGTATATTCCGGTCAGACACAGTGGCTAATGCCTGTAATCCCACTACTTTGAGATTCCTAGGCAGGCGGATCATGAGGTCAAGAGATCAGGACCATCCTGGGCAAAATGGTGAAACCCCTATCTCTGCTAAAAATACAAAAATTAGCTGGGCATGGTGGTGCACGCCTGTAATCCCAGCTACTCGGGACGCTGTGGCAGGAGAATTGCTTGAA